TATATTTAATGCATGTTTCTTATGGACAACATAGAGTTATGAATCTCAAAGTAGACAAAATCTTCAGGTCCCAGTGATCATTTGGGTGTGAGAAATAGGATGACCAGTGTCTTTTTCTTCAGCAGTTGCTGTCGCTGTCCCTGAAGAATGCAGGGATGGAGCAGGTGTGGGGAGTGGGGAGACAAAGGCTATGGTTGTGTTGGGTTTAACAGGCCCGTGGCATATCTGAGAGAGGCTTAGAGGAAAGGGTTCATGCTGGGGCTGGGGTTGGGAGGGGAGTGAGGGCTGGTGACGTTCGTTCGTTCGCTGGGGACTCAGCAGTGCTAGGATCCTGGAGTGGCCTGGGGAGCAAGCACCGAAAGGGAGTGTGCAGGCTGGAAGGGAACAGAGGGCCCCAGGTCCGTGGGAATACTTGGGCTTGAGTGATGGAATCCCAATGACTGAGCTGAAACAATTGAACTGATAAGGAGCAGGGTAAGGTTTTTTTTTTTAATTTTTACTTTAGTAATTTTTAAGTTATTGCATGTTGGTTGCACTGTGTAGGGGGCTTTGCTGGTTATTCGTCCACATGTATAGCACATTTTGCCCACCCCCTCACTACCCTCCCTCCCTTTCCTCACCCCACATCTCATCCCTCTCCTCTAATAGTCAGAGACGGGATTCCTATCTTTTCTATATTTTCTATCCTTTCACTCCTTTTCCCCCACCTTTCAAAAAGCTTGAACCATGATCTCCAATACTTCTGAAATCATATTTCCAAACTTTGAGACTACAGAGGAAAACCAATCCACAGCTCCAACTCAGAACATCGGGGGGCAGCCATGCCTGACTGCGTGTGGGCCCAGGGCCATTCTGGTGTGTGGTTCACGGTTCCCAGGGGAATCCACTGTGAGCCAGTAAAGGCGAAGAGTCCCAGAAGAACACGGGAAGAAGCCACACCAGGAAGACCAAAGCCACCAGCATTTCCTTCACTCAATAAGAGATTAAAGTGATTTTTCAGGGGCTCTGGAAGGAGAGACACTAACAGAGGCAGAGGGAAAGCAGAATTCTGGAGGAGCAGAGGGGTTGGGAAGACAGGACAGACCCAGTGGGCCTGTGATGGGCTGGCTCCTCTGGCTGGTTGATTTGAAGCAAATGCAAGAAGGACGGAAGCTGGAGGGCTTCCTGTGGCCAAGAAAATTCACTTTCTATTGGATGAGTCCTGAGCTTATTTCCATGTGGGCTGGAAAGGGCCAGGAGAGTGAGCAGGGGCAGGACACCAGAGGGCGGGGTCGTCGTGTTAGTCATCATTGCTGCACAATGAACAAGTGTGTTGCTCACTCAGCTTCCCTCCAGGACAACAAAGGACTAGATAACCAATTTATACAGAGATTTGTTTTTGGAGCACAGTTCTGGAGGTTCCAGGCTATGAAGTGCTCCTAGGCCTTTGGTTGGGGTGCCAGAGGGAACAGGCAGCAAAGCATAACCTTTTGCCTCATAGTCCACTAGTGAAAGAGAAGGAAAAGGGGCTGGGAGCCCCACAGTCCTCTCTGGATAATCCCCATCCTGAGACCAAAAGACCTGCAAGACCTCACCTTTCAGAGGCCCTACTGATACAGGGCCCAAACTGAGCTCAGGTGGGTGACCTCTAAATGACACAGGGGGAAAATGATCTCCCAACCCAAAAGGAACCTGGGATGAGTTTGTGTTCTCTAAAACCAAAGAATGAATTTTAGGAACAAATGGAGGCTATGAGCAGAATATATTTATTTGGGGAAAGAAAGTTCCTGTCCAAGAGAGGGACAGGAGGAGAGCCCTGAGCGGGTGGTCCCTGGGAAGCTGTCTTTTGCAGGGACTTTTATAGAGGAAAACCACCTGATGAGACAGGTCTAAGGTGGTGGAGAACATGGGCACTCACTTAGGTGGGCATGAGGTGGGACAAAACTATGGTCAGTCAATGCACCACTGCTCAGGTGAAATTGATTAAATCTATACCAAATGAGGGTCTCTTTCTGTTGGGGGTTAGGTAAGTGACTCATTTGGGCTCTTTCAAGTGACTGATATCTATTTAGAATATCAATCATTAATGCCCATCCCTGGGGAAGTATATAGCTGTATTTGTTTCCTCTTTTGTCTTGAAGTCTGGCCCGTAGACACTCCACAGGGAGTGCCTGTCTCTTCCAAGTTGCCAAGTCACCTTGTCTTCCATCCTGTCTCCTTGAGGGCCTGGCCCTGTCTGACTGCCTATAATATTTCTGTCTAATTAGCTGCCTACAGCACTACCATCTCCCTGGAGCCCTTCGCTGGGTACCAAGCTCCTTGGCATGGGCCTTTGGGGCACATTTAGATCCCAACTGGAACAACAAGTACTCGTTACCTCACCCAGTTTCTGAAGGCCGTAACTCCAAGAGCGGTGTAGCGAGGAGGCTCCAGCAGAGGCCCTCAGAAAGCGATGCGCGTGTGCTGAGGCTGCTGGAATAACTCACCACAGAGCGGATGAGTTATAGAGAGGAACTGTGTTCTTGCAGTAGGCTCCGGTGCGCTTGGGCTCTCCCAAGGCTGTGTTCGTGGGGTGCTGCTGGGCCTTGGGGCCACTGCCCACTCCTTGCTGTCTCTCCACGGGAGCCTCCCTCTGTGCCTGTCGGGTGCTCATTTCCTGTTTTGGTCAGCACACTGGGCAAGGGCCCATGCTCATGACCGTGTATCCACTTAGTGACCTCTTTGAAGGGTTTTTCCCCAAATATATCCGCTTCTAAGGACACTTGAGGATAAAAGATCAATGTATGAATTTCAAGAGGACGCGATCTGGCTTATAACAAAGTTGCAGTCAGGATGGCAGTTGAAACCTCGACTGAGGGTCCCTTCCACAAGCGCCGGGCTATGGAACAGAGACCGCCTTTCCGCACCACATGCGTGGGCTGTGTGCGTGTCCTTACAACACGGCAGTCAGTGGGATCGTAGAGACAGCAAAGAGGACGCGCAAGGTCTTTGTGAACTCAAGCTATAGTCTGTCACTTCTACCTTCTTTTTTGTGGCAGAAGTGAATCACCAGGCCCACACTCAAGGTGGAGAGAATTAGTCTCTGATAGCTTTTACGAGCAGCAGCAATGGCAGAAACAGCGGTGGTGCAGCAGAGAAGCAGAAATAGGGGGAAGTAAAGACTTTATTAACTCTGAAGACACAGAGAGGACCTAGAGCAGGGAGCTGGGCACATCCTCTGACCTGAGACAGGGACGCTGCGGCTTTGTGGGCTTCTGCGGGGGGCGGAGTTGAGGGGCGGAGTCAGTGACGCACAGGGCGCTGATTGGAGGCTCCCCTGTGTGGGCGGGAAAGGTCAGAGGAAGTTGTACCCAGGGCTGGAGTGGGGAAGGAGGAGGAAGTGGCCGCTGGGGAGATAAGCTGTTGTTTTGGGGGTTCAGCCACGTGGGGTCGGGGCCGTGATAATTTAACAGTCTGTGCTCAGGCCATAACCTATCAGTCTCCATTTTATGAAGAGAGGTGTGTGTGTGTGTGTGTGTGTGTGTGTGTGTGTGTGTGTGTGGTAGTCAGCTTTGGTCACTGTAATGAAATGCCTGACTCAGGCTTACTCATGGAGTAAAGAGAAGTTTCTTTTGGTTCGTGGTTCCGCAGGTTCCATTCCAGGATTGGGTGATCTCCTGAGCCTGGGTCTCTGATGGGGCACAGCACCATGGCAGGGCTGTGTGTCATAGCGAGCTGCAGCCAGAGAGGAAGAGCTGCCTCAGAGTCCCCTTCTGATACAGGGGAAAGAAACTCCCAACCTGAAAGGTCCCGGGGATGAGTTCGTGTGCTCCAAAATTGAAGAATGAATTTTAGAAAGAACACAAATTAAGAGAAGAATATATTTCCTGGGTTACTAGGGGAAAGAAAGCTCTTGTCTGATAGAGGGACAGAAGGGGGACCCGAGTGGGTTGCCCAAGAAGCTGACTCTTCCAGGGATTTTTTTTTGGGGTGTGTGTGTGTGTGTGTGTGTGTGTGTGTGTGTATGGTACTTGGATCGAACTCAAGACCTTGCACTGCTAGGCAGGCACTTATGCAGCTGAGCTACGTCCCTGGCCCCCTTCCACGGATTTGTATAGAGTAAAACCATGGGTGAGGCAGGTCCAAAGTGGAAAACATGGGAACTCACTGAGGTGAGCATGAGGTGACACAAAACTGTGGTCAACCGACAAGATTATAAGCACCATTGTCAGGTAAGATTGATTAAATCCTGGACCAAATGAGGAAGCCAGTCACATAGCAAGTGGGCATTAATATGGGACAGAGTCTCCTTCTGTTGGAGATTGGTGACCGGCGCTGGAAAAGGACGAGACGGAGCCTCCTTTGTTTTCGTTCCCTTTATTTTCACGTGTCCTTCTTCCTCCTCTCTCTTCTTCTTCTTCCTCCTCCACTTCCTCTCACCCCTCCTTATATCCCCTCCCCGGACCTATCAGTGGGCGCCACGTACATGGCCTGACGTGGGCAACAGGCCAATAGTCAGCTGCTTCGTAGGGCTATGTGAACCAATCAAATCTTACCAGCAGGGACCAAAAGCTATACAGGAAACAAGGCTTGTGGCATAAGCTCCAGCGGAAGGGGCAAGGCTGAGGAGCAGGGCGCCCGCACCCGGCAGATTGGGTTAGTGACTCATTGGGCTCTTTTAAGGTGATTGATACCTATCTAGAATATCAGTCCCTGATGCCCATCCCCAGGGACGTATGTGGCTACATTTGTTTCTCTTTTGTCTAGAGATGTGGTCCACAGCAGGGAGTGTCTGTGTCTTCCAAAGTTGCAAAGTCACCTGTCTTCCATCTCGTCTCCTTGAGGGCCTGGCCCTGTCTGACTGCCTATAATATGTCTATCTAATGTAGCTGCCTATAACATTTCTAGGATGCACCCCAATGACCTTAGGGCCTTCTACTGGCCACATCTCTAATGCAAAAGTTTTATTAGCAATTTGGTAACTTGTCACAGAATTTGTGAACACACACACACATATATATATATATATTTTGGTTACAACAAAAAATGTGGGACACTTCGTGAATTTGCATGTCATGCTTGCACAGGGACCAGGCTAATCTTCTCTGTATCGTTCCAATTTTAGTATATGTGCGGCTGAAGCAAGCACTGTGAACATAATTTTAAGCTAGCCCAGTAATGCACAAAGTGAGGGAGGATGGGGAAAGGGCAAGGCTGGAAGGACTGGTGTGGGAGTCAGAAGGAAGTAGACCACCTGAGTGAGCAGCAAAGGGAATTTTGGGGGTGGGGCTGGAGGTTGGGGCAGAGCTCTCTTTCTGTGGTGAATATGCCAACGTGCTGTGTAGTTTGAGGGAGCTTTGAAATAGGGATTTTTGCTGAATGGGCTGGTGCAGGCCCAAGTATGGACCCGTGGGTGCTCCTGAGGGCTGCGGGTGATACAGGGAAACCTCCAAATGACACACGGAGAAAAACTGATCTCCCAACCTAAAAAGTACCTGGAGCGAGTTTGTATTCTCTATAACTGAAGAATGAATTTTAGGAACAAACAGAGATTATGAGCAGAATGTATTTATTGAGGGAAGGAAAGCTAATGTCAGAGAGAGAGAGAGAGAGAGAGAGAGAGAGAGCAATGAGGGGGGCCGAGCAGGTGGTCCCTGGGAAGTTGTCTCTTGCAGGGACTTTTATAGAGGAAAACCATATGGTAAGGTGGGTCTAAGGTGGTGAAGAAGACATGGGAACTTGCTTAGGTGGGCATGAGGTAGGACAAAACTATGGTCAACCAATGAGATTACAAGCACCATTGCTCAGGTAAAATTGATTAAATCTAGTACCAAATGGGGAAGCGAGTCACATAGCAAGTGGGCATGCCTGTTGGGGGTTGGACTAGTGAGTCATTTGGGCTTTTTCAAGGTGATTGATACCTATTTAGGATATCAATCCCTGATGCTCATCCCTAGGAAAGTATGTAGCTGTTTCCTCTTTTGTCTTGGTCTTGAGGTGTGGCCCACCTTGAGGATCTGGCCCTGTCTGACTGCCTATAATATTTCTATCTAATTCAGCTGCCTACAATATTCCCCCTCTGAAGAAGCAACCCAAACTGCCATGAAGGAGCCATGGGCAATGACCACTCTGGCTTCTTCCGGCTGAAAGAGGTCGTAGTTATGGACTGTCAGTCAAAGATATTCTCCAGAGGTTCTGTCTAAAGACCCTCAAACATTTTCATCTTGGGTAGATGTATAGCTGAGTCTGGGGGAGACAAAGCCGAAGAAACAAACATGCATGGGCCAAATAATTACAATAGGATAATTATAAAAAAGACCGAGTTAGAACTTTTTGTAGGTCCATTAGCAGATATGTCTTAAGTGTGGGTGTTAATCCTTCTTATCTTTCATGGCCACTGAGTATTGTCTCAAATAAGCTGGCTTACTGCTGTGTCTCACCAATTCCACCATTATGGGGTACATGAATTGTCAGATCTAGGGGAAACATTGAGTACTCTCCAGTGTGCAAGTGGACCACTGGCTGGGTGACTACTAACAAATCTGCATGAGCATGTATTGAAAGATTAACAGGCTTTCTCCTTATTTTGGCAGTTAACATGGATTCCCTCAGGCTGAGAGGGGAAGACCCAGTTTCAATCTGTTTGTTTGTTGTTTTGTTTTGTTTTGTTTTGTTTTGTTTTTTGGTGGAACCAGGGATTAAACTCAGGCCCTTGCGCTTTCCAGGGAAGAGCTTATTCTACTGAGCCATCTCCCTGGCCCCCAGTTTCAATCTGAAACTTCCTCTGACTCCATCATAAACACTTTTTTTTTTTTTCCTTCTCTAGCAACTTTGGACATTTCTGCTTGCAATGTCCTTTCTCTCTGTCTGGATCCAGGGAAACATAACTTTTTCCTGTTTCCCGACCGGCCTTCTTTCCTGTAGGCTGTTAGTATTACCATTCTCATTTTCCATCTGTAATTCCATTCTGTATCTTTTCTAGCATGAAACACCTCAACTGAGACCATTCATTCCTGCAAACCCTTCTAACTTCTGCAGCTTGTGTCAGATACCTGGGGTACACTGAGAAAGCTATAACTTTTTGGTTTTAAGGCCTCCTGCAGGCAGTCCTGCCCAAGGAATGTGAGGGCAACTTGCCCTATAGTGGATTTCCTGACACAGGGTTAGGCTGATAGGGGAAGCATCTTTGAGGGCAGTCAGCCCTGCCCAAAGAACATGAAGATAGCTTCCCTTGTGATGGGGCAGGAAACCTGGTGAAGGCTCAGCTCCCCTGGGCTGGATGAGGTGGGCAGTTAATGGCTTACTATGTCTCCATAGACAAAATGTGGTAGATCCCAGCGAAAGGAATCTAAACGTCATCAAGTATGTTTGCTATCCTGTATGATTACCTGGGTTTTGGTATCTTCTAAGAAAGAACATATTTTTTGAGAAATTAGGGCCTGTGTAATCAAAGCATGAACATTTAAGCTAAGAGGTAAGCAATTGTAAGCAATTCTAACCAAGCTGTATGAGACGAAGCTGTATGACGCGAAGCATGAACAATTATGAGCAATGGGCAAAGATATATCAACAGTTGAAGCAAAAAAGTTTGTTACCTAAGCAAGTCCAAGTGAGAATTTATGAAAGAAAACAAACGCATATCTCTGTCCACTGATTCAGTGGACGACTTTCAGAATGATACAGGGAACCTCCAAATGACACGGAGAAAAACTAATCTCCCAACCAAAAGGTACCCGGAATGAGTTCATGTTCTCTAAAACTGAAGAAGGAATTTTAGGAACAAACGGAGGTTATGAGCAGAACGTATTTATTGAGGGAAAGAAAGCTCCTGTCTGAGAGAGAGACAGGAGGGGTCTGAGTGGGTAGTTCCCCAGGAAGCTGTCTCTTCCAGGGACTTTTGTAGAGGAAAACCATTCAGCAAGGTGGGTCGAAGGTGGTGAAGACATGGGAACTGCTTAGGTTGGCATGAGGTGGGACAAAACTTTGGCCAACCAATGAAATTACAAGCACCACTGCTCAGGAAAAATTGATTAAATCCAGTATCAAATGGGGAAGGGAGTCACATAGCAAGCGGGCATGAATACAGGACAGGGTCTATTCCAGTTGGGGGTTGGGCTAGTGACATTTGGGCTTTTTCAAGGTGATTGATACCTACTTAGAATATCAATCCCTGATGCCCATCTCTGGGGAAGTATGTAGCTATGCTTCCTCTTTTGTCTTGGTCTTGAGGTGTGGCACATATGGGAGTATCTGTCTCTTCCAAGTTGCAAGATCACCTTGTCTTCCATCTTGTCTCCTTGAGGGCTTGGTCCTGTCTGACTCCTTATGATATTTCTATCTAATTCAGCTGCTTACATTAGGGAGAGGTGCAGCCCAAAAGGCCAGCCTGGCTCCTTCTGCAGAGGAGCAGGACTTGGCCCGGCTGGGCTCAGCTCCTGGGCTGGCTGGACCTTGCAAAGTGCTAAGGGGAGCTGTGAAAGGAGAGTAATATGGTTCCCAAGGGAGTGACGGGCTGGGGTGGGGTCCACATCCTGTGCTTACTGTGCTTCACTGAGCATTACATAGCCACTTCTCCCCAAAACAGATTTAAGTTAGTTGCCAGAGGAGCGGGGCACAGACGTGAAGCTGGGAGCCAGGCCGATGCCCTGGGGAAGCGAGAGGCAGCTGCCTCTGGGGGAGAGCTGGGCCATGTGGCCTGCAGGGCTGGTGGAAAGACAAGGGCTCAGAAACCCTGCAGCTCTGGCTTGCAGGAAGACCAAGGCAAGTCATGGGGGAGGGGCAGGCACGAGAGTCTGGGTCAGAGGGCTGGCCATGTAAGGCATGTGACAGGCCATGCTTGAGTCCAGCAGGACCAACACCAGGCAGCTGGTGGCGGGTGCCATGGTGGTGAGGAGGGCACATGGGCATGGAGCAGGAGCCCTCAGACGTCCACTTGGACCAGAAGAGCCAAGAGCAGGAAAGGACAGTGCAGCCGAGAAAGGCCATGTTCCTCTGTGTCGTCTCCCTCTCACCTGCCCTTGTAATGTGAAGGGGAAAGAGGGACCAGGCTCCCCTCAAAGAGCTGTGTGGACCCAGGTTCTATCAGGGTCACCTCTACTTTCACTAAGGCCTCTTAAACCTTCCCAAGGCCAAGGTAGATTTTGGAGGCAGGGGAAGAGGCCTCTCGCTTACCAGTTGAACAGCTCTGGCACAGACCTGGCATTCCTTGGTCTTCATGTTCTCACTTATAAGTCGAGGATAATGACATCCTCAAGGCCACCGCCAACCCTGAGCACCTCTCTCACCCATCCAAACCACTCTCACAGTAGTACCCTCTCCAGAGGCCCTGCACACACCCCCAGTGGACAAATACGCCCCAAGTCCCTTCTGTGGTGAGCTGGTACTAGGTGAGGCAATAGGTTACAAGCACTGCAGTCCCAGGATCTGCCTACTGCTGCCAGTTCTCAAGTCTGGGTAAAGGAAGGGGCTTCTTCTGGACAGGGCAGATGGGCATTGTCCCCTCCTGCTGGCTGCTGGTCACACCTGCCTGGGGCCCCACAGGACCCACTAGCCACCAGGTGCTGGGATGGGTTGGAAATAAAGAAGATCTGGGCTAAGGAAGGAAGGAGAGCCAGGGTGTGGGCTCAGCATGTGATGTGAGAACAGGTGCCCATGGGCTGACCTGGCACTGGGAGGGGCATGGCCAGCAGGGGCAGCCACCCCTCCTCTGAGGAACACCAGGTATAAGGTGGGGCAGCACCCATGCCCTGGAGTGTGAAGAGGTTTAAAGTGTGGCTCTAAAGGCTGCTTAGCAGAGGACTTTCCAGGATGTTTGCTGGTGACTGGTTCACAGGGTGTCAGACCAGGCACCCCTGGGGCTTCTGGATGACGGCACACCTCCAGCCCGCTTCCTTTCAAGCCCGGGCCTGAGTTCAGTGAAGACGAGACTCTGGGCCTGAGGGGCTGAGGGGCTTCTGCTCTCGCTTGGCTGGAACTGCACCTGGGGCAGCCACATAGTCACAGCCAGGCACCCCAAAATGCACCCAGAGCACGCACAGCCCCTGGCCCCAGGGGCTCCCCAACAGGGACCCCACTGCGCTGACACTCTGCTTTCCTCTCTGCTCACAGGTTGTGCGGAGCTGCTGACCAGGATGTCGGCGTTCAGGCTGG